TGTGGAAGGACGTGGGCAGGTTAAAGTGGTTCAAGTCTTAGCTATTGTGGGCGGTGTGGCGTGCCACATCTCGGACTTTTCGGCTGGTAATCATTTTCAACGAACATCTCACTAAACAGCCTACAGCCCACATGATCCAGATGCACTATCTCACGATAATTCAGCCTGTTACGTGATGATCTATGCGGTTTTACATGTATATCACGCCCCGGCCCTTGTTCCCAGGAAATCGTAATCCTTAAACCAAGTTGCCGCTTACAGCTAGGGACAAGGGGCTTACTGCCTTAAGGCTTAGTGGCTTAATTTGTCTTTATTTATATCTTATAACTCAATTGAGTGTCGTTTCTTGGACTTCATTCCCTTCAGCTGCACCCATTTTGATTCCGTTACATAGATAGATCTGAAAAAAATATTTGTTCAATGTCAAAGAAATCCATTTACTCACTTTGACAAGCTGAATAAATGGCATTCACTGAGCGATTATCGTTGATTTTTTCAGTGTATCCTAAATACCGCTCACATCAACACTACCGATGGACAAATATATTTAACACATTTTCTTTCTTTGGGCGCTTTCACCAGAGCCACGTCGGTCGTCGGTAGGTTTCTGAGAATGATGCCAGTTTAGCGTTGGCCTTTCAGCGCTAAAACGCCGCTCGGCCGGCCGGTGGAGCGGTCATCTATCCCCCGCCTGTTCGGCGTGAGCGCCTCATTTGTCGCACGCGCTCGACTGCGTCCGGATCGACCCGGGTCTGCGGAACGGGGATGGGGGCTCCCTCACGAGCCAACGAACCTTTCTAAGACCAACATAAGACTGAAGGGAAGGAGCTTCACATAAGGATCATGACCCAAGGCGGAGCAAAAACCGACCACATCCAAGCTTTCCACTTCCATTAATGGTTTTGTCGTTTCTGAAAGTCGATCTTTTGCATACTCAAACCGTCCCGCTGACAGCCGCGCGCACCGCCAGTGAGCGCTGAAGATGCTCCGGCACTTGACGATAAAGACGTATCAAGTCGCTACGGCCGCATCTCCCAGCTGGTGCTGACGGCTGGACTGGCGTGTCACCGCTATCGGGCACACTGTCCGGGACCCTATAAGGCGGACCGGGCCGCGCCTTGACCGATGTTCTCAGTCCTCAACAGGCCGACCCGTCGACACGGTCCAGTCAGTTCGACAGACAGCTGGGGAGAGCCGAACGGGTTGCATCAGTTTTCCAACGGACTGCAGAACATCTCATCAGCGGTGTCTCTCTCGCTGGTGAGACATAGCAGGCGGTGGGACAGCGAGACTGCAGGCGGTGGGACAGTGAGACATGGCGGGCGATGGGACAGTGAGACATGGGTGACGGATCACCATGCTTCTATCCGCTGTTAAATAGTCGACACCCGCCTGATCGGACAGTGTCTACTGTGAACTGTTAACATGTCCGGGGTTCTCCCAAAGAGTTGTATGGCATGTACCGGACTCAAGCGAGGGATTTTTGCGCCATGTATACTCATAGCATATAACGGACCAAGTCTGCAGCATCCCGGTCAGTGGACTTACTAGGCCGCAGCTCTGGTCAGTAGTAGTTAGGGGGTCTGGTCTGAGACTTGGGTTTGATCTCACGCTGCAGTACCTACCTATGTATACCTAATTGTGGATGTCCAGAGGTCTGCTCCAGGGTAAGGCGCTATCGGTCTGTAGGTAACTCTGGTTTGAAGCTACCGATGTCTACGAGTCCTCTGAGACTGTCGAGTGTCGGTCTCCCGAAGTCTGGTGTGGTGAGTCATGTTAGACCTGTAGTCCAAAACACATCGGCCTTTTTAGCATGAATCACCGTATCATTCTGTGTACAAAATTACTGCTGACCTATACTCATATAATTTGTTACCAGTGGGTAGCTCTTATCAGATGCCAGCTAACTCTGAGCTACTGTGTCGTTATCTTGTTATCAAAGTATCGCACGCCCTGCTAACTGCTTGGCAATTAATTATATTTTCAAACTATAACATAATGCACTTATAAATAAATTAGCAAACATTATCGTAGACACGCTGTCACATGTATTGACTATTAATGACATGGAAATGAACGAGTATATAAATAGATACCGACAAATGAAATAATGAAATAGAGATTATATAGTGCGAGGCCTTGTTCTGCGCGTAGTGGCGAGGGCGCGCCATTGGTGTAAAGTGTGACCATACTTCAGCGTGCTGCAAGACAGGCCTGAGAACGGCGCAGTGTCAGAGCGCGATGTCAATATACAGTGTCAGTGTCATTACATGTCAGCGTACGGGGTCAGTGTCGGCAGTCGGCACGATCAGTGTCATGGCACGATATGCTAATATTTGATGATAGCTCTCAGTGCAGTGTCAGTATTCGGTGTCAGTGTCAGTACTCGGTGTCAGTATTCGGTGTCGGTACACGGTGTCCGTACACGTGTCTCACCTTGGGACCTGACAGCACCAATTACCCGTCGCGCCGACTCCAGTCGACCCCGCCCGGCGCGCGCTGCAGGCTGACGGGACGGCCGGCCGCACCGTGCCGCTACGCCGCCTCTATCAGATAGCCTTGCCGCAGTCGGCCCCGCTACACCCAGGGCGATGTCGAACATCGACAGCCCGCTGCCAAACCGCTTCGAACGCGACCGGTCCAATGAAACACGCACAATACGGCAGCGGCGGCACTGACAGCATGTGCGTGCGAAACCCACCCACATCCAGTGTCAGTGGCATGGTGGAATTATTACATAGGGAAAGAATGGCAACCGCGTGTTATAGGAAAGGCTTGAAGTTATGGTGGTTAAGGCGGTTTAATATTGTTTGAAGTCCATTAATCAGAATCAACTGCTATTAAATATTAACGAATTCACTGAAATTTAGCGATTATATAATTTATTTACTAAAAAGGAAGTAAATGAGATTCGAAGATTGATTAACTCCGAAGACACACTTCAATCGCCCAACAAATGTTTGTCATTTGAAATCCCTGTAATCACGGAAGTGTTTGTAAAATGTACTTACATGGTGTCCTGCCGAGGTCAAACGGGGTCATACATCGAGAAGCGGAGAATAAGCGGTTCGGAGAAAAGTTACTACGGCTTACTACGGCTTACCCGATGATGTGCTCTGATTTGGAATTCGGCCGATCCTTATACTCGAGAACCGCTGTGCAAGTTTATTTTCGACATAGCCCACAAATGATCTTATGGTCATCGCAATGAACTTGAGAGGTCAAATTGCTGATAGGAATTAAGTTTAGGTGCTGGTGAATCGTTTGATGTTGTTTTTATCGCTCTAACTCTACTGGGTTGGCCACAATCCGCTGTGCAAAGTTGGGTCACGTTACCTTTGCTGACCTCTGAAGGTCAAACCACTGGGGATGCCACCGAGTGGCCTGGGCTGTAGCTTGTGTTTGTCACGGCCTCTATTGTGTGAAAGTTTCAGCTTGATTTGAGATTTCCTGAATCTGGACTGACCCCGGGCTGAATCTGGACTAACTGTGGGTTGTCTTGACTGACATTCATAAAAGACCAATAAAAGACTATGTGTCGACTTTATAGTGGCGGAAAACAAATCGCATTACACTTCAATGCATTTTGTTCCGCACCTGAATCTATTTGTCAAGCTTTGATAAACGATGTCAAACAGCGCAAACCATTAATATGAAACCAACAATCAGTCACCCTTTTCCTGTTCCGTCTGCGATACCCCCTGCACGACATACCTGACAGCTGGCCCAAATCACAGTTGATCTCGTTGTCTGACAGCGCATTTTTAGCCACAGATCAGCCGGGGATCGCTACAGGGCAGGCTGCGCTGCCGACGAGGCTCCTCCTGCGCAGTCGCCGACTTTTCGACCGCTCTGTGACACAGCCCTCTGCGGTCGCGTGCCGTTCAATGATGAATGATGTTCTGGCCGGCGACGGTCCAGCCGCTGATGGATGGACGACAGATCGGTTTGGATTGATCCTCCTATCGCGCAGTGTCAGACGGAGCCTCTCCATAATCGCCACCAGCTCGGCGGCCGAACGGGTTTGGCTCGGAGGTCGGTGATCGGTGCCAAGTGGTGTCACAATACGAGGGACAGGATCGTTGAGGGAGGGAGAAGAGCCCATGGCCGGTGTTGGCTTGCCAATGAATCTTGAAAGCATCATTCTTAACTGGCATTATTAATCGGTTGGATGCAACGTTTCAATTCCCAGAAGCATTTAACTCAACTACAGCATTAGGAACATAAGAAGACGTGAGTTAACCATTTTCGGATACCATTAATTACAAAAACTGCATTCAAAGTAAACCCATTCCAAGGCATTTGTGGCTGACATTTCCGTTCAATGCATAGCTGTAGGTACTCCATAATGTTAATGCGCTTAGGTTAATCAGTTTAACCGACACTAATCATCAGTGCCACCGACCCCGTTATTTCTACATGCGCCTGTGATTATCCCCATTCCGGCGGCTACACGAGCAGCAATCCGGGCGCCCCGCCCGCTACACTGACCGGAGGCGCTGGCCACTCACCGTCAGATGAGAGGGTACTGCAGCGCGACAGAGGTGCCTGTAATGTGCCGCCGCGCGCCTGTCGGCCCGAGCAAGGGGTAGACATGGTTGATGGCCTTCCATCGACGAGCGGGGTTGAAAGGCGGCGCTGAAGAGCATTGTTTCAGGTGTGGATCTATGGCATGGTTAACTGCCGTCAATCAGCAAAGCGCTGTAGTAAAATACGGCCCGGTGTTAGGCGGGGGTCATCATTTGCAGACGGCACGCCAGCCACGTGGTTGGGGTGGACGCTATGGGTGCCGGGCGCAGTCTGAATTCCCACAGGGTGGATCGCGGCGCGGTATGACATAACGCGGACCCTGCGGGGGCGAGCAGCACGGACGGGGTGGGACAAGGCCGGCAGAAGGGTAGGCCGCATCCGCCTCAGTCGAGAGGATCAGCCTACATCTCTGCGGTGATGATATCACGGCAACTGACATCAGATGCCGGTGAGCTCACCTGAGTTCTAACCGAGTGGCCGTTTGCCCGGAGCTCCTGTGCCCTCCGCCCACGCAGCCTCCCGCTCGGCAGACTCCCTCACCAGCACAGCAGCCGCACGGGGCGGGGCCTGAGGACTGCATGACCTCAGCCGCGACCCATCACGACCTTGACCCAGCGTGACCCGACCACCGCGCCGGCGGCGGATCGTCTCTGTGACGTCACAAAGGTCAGCTGACGGCGCCCAGGGCGGACCACCGGGCGCGAGCCGCCGCCCCGCCGCCAGGGCCGCCGGCCGCCGCCATTCGTGCTAATTAATTGCGGCGATTGCGGCGATTGTGGCGGCGCGGCGCGGCGCTGCCCTGCCGACGGTAACAGTGCACGTTTCTCTGGCGGGCCGCGGTGTTGAAAGGTGGCCGGCGGTTTCGGTGTAATTTAATAAGCGGCCGCCGAGTCGGCTGTGCAGGCCGGCTTCGAGCGGGGCGGGATGACCCGCCTCCGGCGACCAGCCACAGAGACGAGCGCATGACCGCCTGAACGGCGTTTATTCTCCACCGAACCGCCCACCGGTTAATGACGACGAATTCCGCTAAGCACTGAAGGTGCGTGTGTTTGCAGATGGGAGGATTGCGGCCCCAGGGCCGATGAGCCGGCGAAGAGCGGTCGGGAGGAAAGGAAAAGGGCGGCTTGAGTGGCTGACTCTTCCACAGCCCCCTTACAAGCTCCCAGCCTCCTGAAAACTCTTCCCCGCCAACACTGGAGCTCGTTTCACTCCAGAATGTCACGGTTGTCACCGATTGAGTCACCAGTGATACGCTCCCTGACACAGTGTCGATGACACGCTGACACAGTGCCACTGTCACGTTGACACTGTGTCGATGGCACGCTGACACGGAGAGCGATCCGCTCCGGAGCGCTGGGCTGCTCCCTCGGCGCCCGCCCCGGTCCCGATCGGGTCTCTCGATTGTCTATGTGAGTGACGGCGCGAAAAGCCTCGACCATGTAGCGGAGGCGGCGATCTTGTCGGCGCAGTGAGCTGTTCTACCGGCTGCGAACGGCGTCTGATCCGCCACGCTCTGTTAGGCAGATGAACGCGATACGTTCAGTTCGAGTCCGTCAGACCGTACCGCTAGTGGGGTGGACGTCTGTCTGACGTTATCACGGCGCGTAACCGTCATAGATCCGAGGGTGAGAAGAAAATCATCATTGTTGGAACTACCACATTAAGGATTCAGCGCATGCATATAAAATGAAGTACCTATCTATATCACATGCCATTTCAGCTTCAAGTGAAACAAATTGCTAGCGTTTTCAGATAAAATATACAAATGCAGCACAGCAACTTTCTTTTGTGACACTCACGACCCAGTCCAGCTCGTCTTTGCATGCTTCCTGTTGCCTGCACGACATGTTCATGCACCTTAAAATAAAACTCGGCGTTATCGATATACGCTTCATTCATCTAAAAATTAAAGCCTACCTATTTCATCTTCTTTTAAATGCAGCCGAATCCCATTCACATTCATCATCTTAATTCGCAGCGAATGCACAGTGCAGATATATGCACAGAAGCAATCAATCCACGTTTTAAAGTAATCGGCACATCTGCAATGCAGCGGAGCTAGCCGTCCGTGTCGCCATTTGTCATAAGTGACCACAGCGATCAATCAAATGATCGATAATTCAGCCTAATACACCGCCGCCGTGGATTAAAACAAATGGCAGCGGTCACACCAATGGACACCGTCGTGTTCGGCGTGACGTCAAAATGTTGATCTTGCGGCTCGAGGAGCTTATGGGATGCCAGCTTCCAGAAGCAGCTTAGAAACATTTCATCATTAAACATTTGATTCTTAGAAATATATATGACCTTTCAAGATGGTCAGTTTTCTAACTGTTTAGGATTATGAGTTACCAGCGCGATGTGTCGCCTTATGTCTAAGAACGATCATAATTTAATCCACCGTATAATTGCAGCGATCTAAGCATGTGCATCAACCCCTCTAAGGTATATGTATTATGTATAGCACGGTCGCATGAACCACCTCATATCAATCAGTAGCGGCGGAACACCTTCAATTAAGGGGGGGGGCACTGCCGACTTTTGGTCCCATTCTTTCCATGCAACGCCCATAGGGTTAATATTAAAATGCCAAAATCAAAGGGGGGCACGGTGCCCCGGTGCCCTCCCCGTTCCACCGCCTATGATCTCAATCCAATTAAAAAAGAAGAAATAGAAATGCAAGTAAAAATAACTGCATTCGGACTAGAAAGCCCACCTTTCAATGCAAATATAGGCTCACTGACCGCACCAACTAAGAACCCTATGGGTACAGAAATGAATACATTTGTGTTTATGTTCACATTAAATTACATTTTAATATTCCTCCTACGGTAGAGCCCCAAGGTCTCTTGAAAATAAAAATTGATCACAAAGATATGGCGTTTGATTTAATGTAAAAAAATGATGACAACAAACACAAAGTGTGTCATTGTCAGAAAATGACTATGCACTTTTGAGAATTGACAGACCTGTGCCGACTGTGGACCCTTTTGACCTCCCTGTGTGACGTAAAGCAGCGGGTTACAGATTCCACATACCAACCGATAGAGGGTATATCGGGAGGTGGATTATTACTGCAAGCCCCAGCGTGACAGATCTAACTAAGCCAGGTAAAAGCGGCGTCTAAAAATATCGGAGCTCCCTTCACGACAGCTCCATGAAGGGTATCAGTAGCCTGAAGTCTAAAATCGAGGACCGTTTGATCCACCGATGTCTCGTCTGACAGGCGGTGGATCACGGACTAAGACACACAGATCACGGACGGCTCACGAACTGAGTCGGGGAAGTTCACGGACAACTCTGTTCAACAACTCTGGACGACGCTGTTCAACGTAACGACAGCTGACTGGCTCTGTTGGGAAGTTGATATAGACACGGAATGCCGCTGTTCATTGCACGGGATGGTGACATTTGCTGGGTGCACCGGCTGGTCCACGGGCTGTGCCGGGGGATCGCTAGTAACACGTCGACCCGGCCCCTGTCGAGCGGGGCGCACCCCAAACCATCGGGTGCGTATTAGCCGTTTTCACGACGGGCTATCCGGCGAGTGCACCTAATTTGACCAAATCTGCACCTAATCTCTTTTACAGCAATTACCTGTATTTTATGAATTTATTTCTGTGTTTTAATCGATGATGCTCTCTGATAATATGGCAAAGCAGGCATATAAGCAATTAGTGCAACCCTAGCTGATACTACTAAAAGACACACTGAACCTAAGTTGACCACATCTGCACCTATCTGCACCAAATGTGCACCAAATGTGTGCCAGATGGCCGTCGTGAAAACGGCTATTGACACGGCACTGCTAGCCCGGCCCCGGTACTGAATGATATGATTGTCAGTAATATAAGCGGGTTGATATTCAGCATCTCCATCCGTGAGGGTATCTTTAGATCAATATCCGCCGTGCCCAGATCCGTAACGGACAGAATCGGTGCGATTGCATAACAGTCGTCGTTTGATAGTGAATGACGCGATCTTCGGCCGTCAAGTTGAAACCCTCTCCACGTGAGGGCATGTGCAATTGAACATTGAAGATAGTGCAGACTGCAGGGTGGCATTGGCCTTGCTTTCATCGAGCATATCAACATGATGCGGAGTATGTGCCATCCGCGGCTTATCTGAGGTTTATCGCGGTTTAAACAGTGGCTCTCCGCTCCCTAAGTGGCTTTGGACTTCCATAATACAAAGTACATACATGTGGCACGTGCTGTTGATGGTGTAGTATACATGATATTTTTATACCGCCGTACTTCTTGTGTTGATTTAATAATGCTGACTTATTGTGGTCGATGAAGCGCAATTATTTTGTGCAGCTCCAGATTCCTGGCCAATTCCAATTCAATGCCATCTGTTCTTTTAAGTTGTAATTTAGAAATGAACTGTCTTTTTCAGCCAGGAAGTAGACGATTACTAGGTAGGCAATAGTATTCTATATGCTTTGTGACTGGACAGAGTGCATGTTTTGAGACAGCATTGCCAGCCAAAATCGGCTCCACTCACCAACATACATGAAGATAATCAACTTAATCGCTCAAGTGCCCCATACCAATATCCAAATGGCAAACTGTCTCAAAGAAAGAAGCTTTGTATCGGCGGCACCTTGCATCTCAGGACGATTCAACGGTTTGGGGCCACCGTGCTCTCAGGACCTGCTACTTGTCTGGAGGATGACACCTATCTCCTTATCTGAACGGCCTGTCCGTTTCTCGCGGCGCGTTAGAGGGTGTTTTCCGTAAGGGTAAGTAAGTTGGCCCCATAAATGGCACCCGGTGGAATGTTTAAAGCCATTCCCCGCCAATAAACTGTTCAACTACTGTAAAAGGCGCGCGCGGCGGCCATTTACGCTCACCCCATTAGCACGCTAGGTCGCACCTCGTTTCGGAAAACGGCTGTTAGGACTCGAGGAGTGGCCAAGACCGGGAAGTAGTGAGTTCTGTCAACAGCCTCACAATGCTGTTTGAGATTCTCTTGTTCAAAACGAGCGCCCCGTGAACGCCCACTCTGTCAAACGCCCGTGGAATGTGGTGACCAATGGTCGCCGGTCAAATGCGGCAGTATGCGCTGCCGATTCTTGTTGATGGTAATGTGTTTCTGGGTGGCAATGAACTTCTGTAAATGGCCATCGCTCGAATATGGTGCCACCGCCTGCCTACCGCCGTTTACGGCAATGAGCCACTACGAGGTAATGGGCTACGATTTTCAGCTGGCTTGCATTCTTTTCGTTTCTTATCAAACTTCTTCAGCTGTCCATAGTTTTACAATTTAACCTCGACACTTCACATACGTCTCTCTGTATTTCGGCAGACGCGAGCGGCGGCACAGGAGATCCACCTCCCTCCCTCCCTCCTCTCTCCCCTCCGCAGTGGCATGCGCTGGCGTTTGGCCGCCCGGCGGAGGTCCTTGTCTCATCTGTGCTCACACGAAGCCGGACACTGGGGTCTGTTTGTTCCGCTGCAGCCGGGCCGTGTAGGCACACACACGACTACCGAGTCTGCCGACAGCCGCCTAGCGCCGCCCTCAGAGGAGGCGGCCGGCGGTGGCCATTGAA